TACTATCTGTCCTGGTTTCTTAAACAGGAGCTGAGTGGCCTCTATGCAGCGTGGTTTATTTCTGATAGTCTTTTAGATTAGCTGAGATATGTTCCAGAAGCAGGCAGGAAGAGCTGGTTGGATGAGAGGGGTGTCTACTATATGGAAAGGGAAAAGATCACTGAATGTGATCTTTTCGACATTTGTCATGTTCTCGAAGCACAATTTCAACACTTAGCCATTATAATCTAGTTAGATAATCAACATTATCTCATATAGAGTAGATTTTAAATACTATTCAAAATATGACTATGATTAGAGAAACACAGATTCTTTTTTTATAGTACTTCAGATGAAGGTTTACAGAGCAAATTAGTTTCTCATTAAACAATTAATACATATATTGTTTTGTGACATTGGTTGCCAACCCCACAACCTGTCAACACTCTCCCCTTCTCAACCTTGAGTTCCTTGTTACCAGCTTTCCTGTCCCCTCCTTCCTTCTCATCCTTGCCCCTGAGCTGGTGTTCCCATTTGGTCTCATTTTGTTTTATGGGTGTGTCTAATCTTTGGTTGAAGGCTGAACCTCAAGAGTGACTTCATTACTGTGTTAAAAGGGTGTCCAGGGGCCCTACTCTTGGGGTTTCTACAGTCTCTATCAGACCAGTAAGTCTGGTCTTTTTCTACAAGTTAGAATTTTGTTCTACATTTATCTCCAGCTGTGTCTGGGACCCTCTATTGTGATCCTTGTCAGAGCAGTTGGTGGTGGTAGCCAGGCACCATTTAGTTGTGCTGAACTCATTCTGGTGGAGGCTGTGGTATTTGTGGTCCATTAGTCCTTTGGACTTATCTTTCTCTTGTGTCTTTTGTTTTCTTCATTCTCACTTGCTCCAGATGAGGCAGGACCAGTGGAGTATCTTAGGTGGCCGCTCACAGGCTTTGAAGACCCCAGACACTACTCAACAAAGTAGGATGTAGAACATTTTCTTTATGACTATATTATGCCAATTGATCTAGATGTCCCCCAATACCATGGTCCTCAGCCCTTAGCCCAGTAATTTGGTCCCTCAGGGAGTTTGTACATGTCTATGAAGCTTCCATGACCTTGCCTTGGTCAAGTTGTGCTGACTTCCCCAGTATGGTGTACTGTCTTACCCTTCACCAAAGTTACCACTTATGTAAGGCCTATAGGGTCGCTATGAGTCGTAATCAACTCCACGGCAACGGGTTTTTTTTTTTTTACCTAGTTAGTGTTTTTCTCTTCCCATCCCTCCTCTCCCTGGTAACCATCAAAGATTGTTTCTTTCTGTGTGTAAGCTTTGTATGAGTTTTTATAATAGTGGTCTCATATAGTATTTGTCCTTTTGTGATTGACCTATTTCACTCAGCATAATGCCCTCCAGATTCATCTACGTTGCAAGATGTTTCACAGATTCATCATTGTTCTTTACTGTTGCATAGTATTTTGTTGTGTGTATGTACCATAGTTTGTTTATCCATTCATCTGTTGATGGGCACTTAGGTTGTTTTCATCTTTTTGCTATTGTGAATAATGTTGCAGTGAACACAGGTGTGCATATGTCTATTTGTGTGATGGCTCTTATTTCTCTAGGATATGTTCCTAGGAGTGGGATTGCTGGATCATATGGTACTTCTATTTCTAGCTTTTTAAGGAAGTACCATATCATTTTCCAAAATGGTTGTACCATTTTACATTTACAGATTCTTTTTACTCTTGAGCTACTATACTTATTGTTGATAGCCCATGATTTAATATTTTATTTAATATTTTATGCTCTATTTATTTTTATACTGTATTGTTTCCCCAATACAATATGTACATTCTTGAATTTCTGCTCTCAGAGTTAACCCTTACTGAAATGTCCTTTCATCTTCTCTCTAGGCAGCCAAATCCTAGTTATCACTCAAACCCAGTTCATCTTTTTCTTACATTGTAAACTCTTGCTTAATATGCAGCCTATGATATCTCCCTTCTCTGCACTCAGGTTTCTAGTAATTTTTGTGTTTATTTCTTGTGCTTCCAACCAGATGCTAAAGAGATTCTTATAAGCAGGGATTGTTATATAGCTGTATCATTAGTACTTTTTCTAATGTGGTGCAGGGTATAGGTGCTTGTAATTGGTCAGGCCTCTTCGGTTTCAAGTTAAAGAAATCCAATTCATACACTAACTCAAATAATGAAGAATTTTATTATCTTATGTACATAAATGGCCCAGTGATGGGTCTGGATGAATGTTTAGTCATAACTGGATCAAAGTGTTCAAGTTTATCATCAGGAGTTTATTGTTCTTTGGTAATTGGCTCTGCTTTCCTTTGCCTTGGCTTCATTCTCAGGCAGGAGCTCCCTAAGTCATGTCTGCCTGCAGTAGAAGAAGAGCTTCACTTTTTCAACAGATCCAGAAAAAGGCCTGGGGATGATGCTTATTGGCTCTATTGATATGGCTTGAGTCATATGCTTACCCCTGGACTAATCACAGTGGTCAGAAGGAAGTGATTGGGTTGTTGGCTGGGTCTGAGTTAAGTGGTCATGGGAGTGGGATCAGTTGCCTTGCCACCAACATATGCACTGAGATTGGGGGAAGGGTGGGTCCGCAAAGAAAAAGGTGGGCTTCTGTACCAGCGAAATAGGACATGGATACTGGACAGGTGAAAACAAAGTGTCCATTGGGGAATTCAGTAAATATTTGCTGATTGATCAAGTAAGCATCCCTCTAGGACAGAAGTTATGTTTATATAGAGATTTTGACCTTTGTATAGATTTTTTTAAACCTTCATTTCAAATACTTTATGGTTAGAATAGTGCCATGTATCCTCTAAGCACTCCACAGTCACTGTTGAATGTGACTGTGAATGTGAAGGTGATATGATGTGTGACTCTGGGCTCCCAACAGATTTATCATCAGGCTTGAAAGGCTGCTACTCTCTCAAGGACGGATTAGTAACCATGCCTACTTGTTCTAACCTTTAAATGGGTTCTCAAAGTTTTTTGTGGAAAAATGAACAGAACAGCAATCAAATCTCTCATTGTGGGTTGCAGTGATGATGACCAAATGGTTTCATGGTAAAACTAAGTAGTATTACCAACCAATTAAACTGTTAGTTGTGTGAATCTGTTAAGCTATAGAGGTTACCATTATTTCAAACATCAGAGGTCAGTACACTAAGTTGGATAACAGCATTTTTGACTGCCTATTATATGCATTGAGGTATAAGATCAGAGATATTTGAAGCAGAAAAATTTAAATCATGTATTGGACAACTTGCCTAAGACCCAGCCAGTGAACGTCTGAATGAACATTGCAGGCAGTGACCAAGATTAGTTTTCATGGGAAATGTACGCCAGAGAGGCAAAAGCATAATATCCATTGGGGAGTTCAGTAAATGTTTGCTGATTGATCAATTAAATATCCCTCTAAAACAAAAGTAAAGTTTATGTAGATTCGGTACTATGTTTTTCTTTTTAAAATTTTTTAATATATTTTGTTGTTGTTGAGAATATACACAGCAAAACATACACCAATTCAACAGTTTCTACAGGTCCAGTTCAGAGATGTTGATAACATTCTTCAAGTTGTGCAACCATTCTCACCCTCCTTTTCTGAGTTGTTCCTCCTCCATTAGCACAAACTCACTGCCCTCTAAGTTTCCTATCTAATCTTCTGTTTCTGTTGTCAATTTGATCACATAAGTTAGATCTTGAAAGAGCAGAGTGCTCAAGGCAGACCTTCTTTACTAGTTAAACTAAACTATTTGTTTTTGGTTTAAGGCTTAAAGACTATGTCAGGGCAAATAGTTTCAGGGGTTCATCCAACCTCCATGTCTCCAGAAGGTCTGGATTCCATGAGAATTTAAAGTTCTGTTCTGCATTTTCCCCCTTTTGGTCAGTATTCATCTATAGAATCTTTGATCAAAATGTTCAGTTATGGTAGTCAGGCACCACACAGTTCTTCTGATCTCATGGGAAAGGGGGCAGTTGTTCATGGAGGCAACTAGCCACACATTCCATATCCTCCTCCTACTCCTGACTCTTCTTCTTCTTTTGTTGCTCCAGGTGAATAGACACCAATTATTGTGCCATGAGTTGCCCGTTGCAAGCTTTTAAGACCCCAGGCATTATGCAATGAACTAAGAGGTAGAACAGAAGCACTAAACATGTTATTAGGCCAATTAACTGGGTTGTCCCATGAAACCATGACCCTAAACCTCCAAACCCAGGAACCAAATCCCATGAGGTATTTGGCTGTACATAAGCAGCTTTAGCAGCTACTTTTTTTGGGTTGTTAGTTTACCTATTCACCTATTGAAAGACATCTTAGTTGCTCCCAATTTTTAGTAGTTATGAATAAAACAAAAAACCAAACTCATTGCTGTTGAGTCTATTCTGACTCACAGCAACCCTATAGGACAGAGTAGAACTACCCCATAGGGTTTCCAAGGCTGTAATCTTTACAGGAGTAGATCGCCAGGTCTTTCTCCCACACTGCCGCTGGGTGTGTTCAAACGACCAACTTTTTGGTTAGCAACCTAGCACTTAACGACTGTACCACCAGGCCTCCTCTACCATTATGAATAAAGCTGCTATAAACATTCATGCGCAGGTTTTATGTGGACAAAAGTTTCAACCCATTTGGGTAGATACCTAGGAGCATGATGCTAGATCATATGGTAAGCCTATGTTTAGCTTTGTAAGAAACTGCTAGACTGTCAATTCTATGCCATTTTTTACCTTCAATCCAAATACTTCATGGTTAGACTATATAATAATAGCTTTGGATATAGACAATCCTTTATTATTTGAATTTTTGTTAGTGGTGAGTATGCCTTTCTCAGCTAGTTAAGTTTGTTTGTGTTGTGGAAAAAGAGCAACTCAAGCATAAATAGAATTGTGTGTCTTTTAGAAATCAATCTTCTGAAATCTCTGAGAGAGCTAATATTTATTTTATGCAAAATATATATTTAGCTCTGCCCTATTAATTTTATTTTTAATCTTTGCTTCTTAGAACTGGAAGATAAGCAAAAATTTACAATTGATACCTCTTCGAATATTAATTTGTTCTTACAAATGTTTTAATCAACGTGGCCCTGACCTCTTTGGAATTGCTCAGGTGTAGAGCAGGTAAGAAGCTCATTCAGAGCCTCACTTGATTTTCCCCATCTGCTCTGTGTACACTGTCAGATTGTGCCCCACTTATGCTACCGTGCTGTGTCTGTTCTTTTCGTAAATAAACTGAGCAAAGGAAGAATATTAATTTCATTGTAATGATCCCAACTGAAGCACTACAGTCTACTTACGGACTGATTAGACTCTGCATGTGCTGTCTCCTCCTGCTCCTCCTTTGACTTAAAGATAAAATAAAAAATGGAAAAAAAGATGTATGTGTGGCAAATGAGTGTTATTTTTTAATCTCTCATTTAATGACCACCACCTTACTGTTGTAGATAAATATTGAGAGACTTTGATTGAGAAAAGTATTTATTTTATGAACGTTTTGTAACTGAAGGAGAATTACTTTTCAGTGTTAGGTGCTTATATTACATTTGTATGATTCCAGTTGAGCTCTTATTTTTAACAGGCACTAACATATTAATGACTAAGATAAATCCCTCATTCCACTTAAAAATGAGTTATTGTTATTAGCTGTTGTCAAGTCAGCTCCCAACTCATGGTGACCTAATGTGTTACAGAATAGAACTGCTCTGTAGAGTTTTCTTGGCTGTAATCTTTACAGAAGCAGTTTACCGGGCTGCTGGGTGGGTTTGAACAGCCAACCTTTAGGGTAGCATCTGATTGCAAATTGCTTGCATGATCCAGGCTTAAACATGAATAAAAGGCTGGAAACCTAGGCTTGGTTACCCTTAACACAGCCTTGTTACTGCTTTTAAAATTTCATTTTTTTTTTTTTTTTTTTTTACACAAGAGAAACTGACAGAAGCCTGGGCAGTAGTGCTGAAATGAGAATCAGGCTCGTTTTCTCTCAGGGACATCAGAAAACCAGGGAAAGAAGTAGGGTCACTCTGAGCTGAAAATGACTCCATGGCAATGGATTTGGTTTTTGGTTGTATAGACCAGTAGTTCTTGGAAGCGTGGTGTTGAGGAGCATCCACATCACTAGAGAACTTGTCAGATATGCAAATTATCTGGCCCCATCCCAGATCTACTGTATCAGAAACCAGGGGTGCGGTGAGGGGTACAGCAAGTCCTCCAGGTGATTTTGATGCAAATTCTAGAGTGAGAATCACAGGGATAGACTAAGATAAATAAAGCAACTGTGGGTTCAGGAAAGCAAGCAATTACCCATATTTTTATATTTAAGTCCCACTAGAAATATATTTCTTCACATATCTATTTGGTGGTCCTTCTTGTGGAAAACAGAGTGGATTCTCGTCTTCCATATAGTTTATTATCACTTTACCTTCCTAACTAGGCCTTTTAGGAGTTCACATCAGGACATATTCCTTTATGCGTCAGAGTTGCCTGTGACATACCTGGGAAGCAAGATCAATGGAGCATAGCTGAGAGGCCCTCAGTTCCAAGAATACTAGGTCCAGGCACCACTGGGACAGAGATGGGGCCTCAAGATAACCTTCTAAAGGCACTGTTAACCAAGAATGCATTTTAAACAAAAACAAAGACAAAGTGCAAATGAAAGACATTGGAACTCATTTAGGTGAGTTACAGGAATAAGCGACGTATATTTATTGAGGGACAACTGCTCAGTACATTGATTTTAATTAGTGAAATAATTTTATACAACTTGTTGTTGAAAAAAGTGTTTTGTTTACCATTTTGAATCCCATAACCTCAGCAACAATTCATGTGCCATCTTGGTTGGGAGGGGGACTTTGTCTATTCATGTATGGAAAACTTTAGCTATTCACCTCTTTATCTACTCATTTAGTCAACAAATATCTCAGGTAGTTTGTCCCTTTAAGCTCAGGAGACACAAAAGAGAGAATCTTGTCTCTCTACATCCACCCCTACCTCCATCACCTTCATATTTCAAAGTATTGCAAGCCCCATTTAAGCTCTCTTGTCCCAAATGTGGAATCAGCTACTCTCCATTTCACTACAACTGCTCTTTCAAAGGCCATCGGTGACTTCCTACCAGGGCTTCAAACTGGTGTATTGCCACCCTACATACACTGAAACAAATCTACATTTTTAACAAGATCCCCAGGTGTTTCTTGATGTATAATAAATTTTGAGAACCACTACTCTATTAGTAGTTTTCAGAATTGGTCCCTAACCAGTAGCATTAGCATGGTCTGGGAACTTGTTAGAAATGCAAATTTTCAGCAGGGTTCAAACCGGAACAAACCGGTTGAAAGCCCTGCTTCATACACTCATCTACTTCTCATCTGGCTGGTCCTCCCTTGCAGATTTGAGTTCTGTTGACCATCTTCTGCTCCTGAAACTGCACTAGGTTCATTTCCTTAATTCTCTGATGGCCTCTTTCTAATTCATTTGAATACTCTTCTATACCTTTCTTCCCCAAATAAGTATCCTATGAGATTGTCTACTCATTCCCAGTGTCTTCTCTCTTGGCACTTTTTCTTTGCCTGAATGAACTTAGCTTCTCCCACCAGTTTATTTATCTTTATTTATCACACCTGGGTGAGCAACTCTTAAATTTCTTTCTCCATTTTTAACCCATATTTCCAAGTTCCTCAACTTCAACATATCTAAAATAGAACTGATTCTCTTGTTTATAAATTTTTCTTTTCCCGTTTATTCATTATTAAACAAATATTTATTGAGATCTACATCTACCAGGCACTGTTCTCTGTTCCAGAGATATAGTAACAAACAAAACAGACAGGGCCCCTGCACTCATAAAGCTTACATTCTAATGGGGGAGGTAAATGATAAAAAATAGACAAATAATAATACGGTAAGTACTTTGAGAGAAGTAAAATAGGATTTGGGAGATAGAGAATGATGGGGATAATTTTTATATGGGGCAATCTGGGTCTGATAGGGTATTATTTGATCAAAGATCTGAAGCAAGTAAAGCAGTGAGCCCTATAGATTTCTAGGTGGGGGAATCCTATGCAAAGTTCCTGAGGCAAGACATTGCTTAGCTTGCTCATAGAAAGCAAGAAGTCTAGTGTAGCTGGTTAAAGTTTTAAAAGTTTCTCATACTTTTTCATATATATTAGATTATATTTTCTGATATTTAATTGACTTGGAAGTTTAGATTTGTACAATCCTGTGGAAAAGGGAAACTTTATGTAAACGCCATTAAGAAACTGGAATTTAACACTATTGTTGCCTGTATAAAAGATAAATAATTATCTAGGGCCCACAGAAATGATAAACTGTAAGGTTTTTTTTTTTTTTTGACTAGGCAGGTCAATCCTTTAATCTAATCATTTGATATGACAGTAAATATTAAGATACTTCAAATTTAGTGGCTCAAAGGATAGCCGGTATTTCAAAAATAGGGGAAAACTGATGAATAAGTTCTTATTTTAGAGCAAGCCAAAAGGATATTATAAAGATAGATTGAAACTATCACTTGGTGCTCTCTTGATAAACATACAACTTTCTGCTGCCATGAAGTGGCTGCAGCCTCTGTGCCATACCACTGTGTGCATAGTCTTCATGTGGAACAGTAAAAGGTTCATATCAGAGTGCTGCAATTCTGATCTCTTCTACCATCTCCACAACGAGGAACCAGTGCTCCTTGGAGAGTAGCTGATTCCACATTTGGGACAGGAGAGCTTACATGGGGCCTGAATAGGGTTGCTAGAGTCAGCAAATAAAAATAAAGGGCACCCAGTTAAATTTGATTTTCAGATAAACAATAATTTAAATTTTTAGTATAGGTATGTACCAGGTAATGTTTGGAATCTACTTACACAAAAAAATATTTGTTGTATCTCTGAAATTCAAACTTAACTTGGCCTCCTGTATTTTATCTGGCAACTGAGACCTGGAACATCTTGTTGTTAGAAAGCAGGAATACCTTCTAGTATGTATGTAAGAAGATGGTGACGGAAGAGTCAACCTGAAGGAGAAGCTGCTGGCCAAACTGTCAATCTGAGGATTAGAAAAAAACTAAAATAACAATGAATAGGAACAAGTTAAGTGTTTGAAAGGTTGAAAGTCCAGAATGACGCTAGAAAGTACTAAATAACTTAAAGTGTGCTAAGGAAAGAGCATGGCTGATGTCATGAAATTTAGTGTTACTGGACGCGTGTTCATGCATCAAGTGTCATCAAGGGAACTAGAAACAGAGGAAGGATGCATCGGCTCCTGCCCTGTGGACCAGCCCCATATTCCCAATCATTGGTTTATTAAATCAGAAACCTAGTTAATATTATTCTGTGTTTACTGCGTGTGAGTGTGTGGTCTCTTATTGCCAATCTGTAATCTTTCTGAAACACTGCAAAATATTTTTATTTTCTAATCATTGCAATCAACCATTAATTGTCCATATGAAGTTCAAGCAACCAGAGCATCAGTATTTTTTTTTTTTTTAATTATCCAGGTTCAATTTTTCTCCTTTTTTGTCTTCTTCCATGGCTGCTGTCTGGAATTTTTGTCGTTCATTCATATTTACCTCAGAAGAACACAGGAGAATAACAAAAAGAAACTCAAGTCTTTTTTACTGTTTACTATAAACTTATCATCTATGTTATGGGGGAAGTAGTTCCAGATAGAAGAATATACATTATTTTAGGATTATTAATAAATTCTATTTATGTGTCTAGTTACTATGCATAACTCAAGCATGATTTCTGATTTTTTTAAATTGTGTATATATTTTGTAGATAAAATCCAAGATGCATTTAAGCAGTCGATATTTCTAACAACTTTTCAGAATGGTGTTAGTTGAATCTAGGAGATAGAGTTAATTGATCTGGCTAAAATATATTGTTGTTGTTAGGTGTCGTTGTGTCGATTCCGACTCATAGTGACCCTATGTACAACAGAATGAAAAGCTGTCTGGTCCTGCGCCATCCTCACAATCGTTGGTATGTTTGAGCCCATTGTTGGAGCAACTGCGTCAATCCATCTTGTTGAGGGTCTTCCTTTTTTTCGCTGACCCTCTACTTTACCAAGCATGACGTTCTTCTCCAGGGACTGGTCCCTCTCGCTGACATG